AAACCAACAGCAGTATAATCAAAGTGCTGGATAAGCAAAAGCAAACATCTTTGGCTTCTTACTGACAAGTATACATTCTATCTTTTTACAATAGATAGATAGTCCTTTCTTCATGCTTTCCTACAGTTTTCTTTCAGTAGCTGCCATCAACATGGTGTCATCTGTGTATCTAATGTTAGTGAGATTATGTCCAGCAATAATGGTCCCCGGCAGCATTTTCCCATAACATCTGTAACATTAGTCTGTCCATTCAATTCACACATGCCAAAATAAATATTTTAGCATTTCAGCAAAATTTTAATTTTGTTTTTTTATTTCTAGTCTTCCTCACTTGTTTGATTACTGAAACAAGTCGTGATGTGTTATCTTTAAAAACTAACAACTACCCATTTTAAAGTTAGTGTTAAAGTTATTTTGATGACTGAAAAGGTCATAAGGTTACAAAAATCAGTTGTACTCTTCTCTTAACAGTATTAACAAGCATAGGACTTTTTTTTTATCACTGTAAATTCCACCAATTTATGAAGTTACAGATGACACAGGCAGGAAGAGAGAGAGAGAGGCGAGTAGACAGAAGGATCCATCCCCATCTAACACGGTATATCTCTCTCAGTCTGTACATATCTATCTGTCTGTCTGTACATACATATCTATCTATCTGTCTGTCTGTACATACATATCTATCTATCTGTCTGTCTGTACATACATATCTATCTATCTGTCTGTCTGTACATACATATCTGTCTATCTGTCTGTCTGTACATACATATCTGTCTATCTCAATCTGTACATATCTATCTTGGTCCCTTCATATCTACCTATCTATCTTTCTATTTCAATCTGTTTATATCTATCGCAGTTTGTTCATATCTATCTTGGACCATCCTTATCTATTTTGGTCCATTTATATCTATCTATCTCAGCCCATTTATACGTGTCTATCCATCCCTCTATCTCAGTCTGTTCATGTCTATCTATCCCAGTTTGCTCTATTTCTAAAGAATTAATAGATTTATTTATAATTTAATACGCAATTTAATAATGGGGTGTCCATTTCAATTCAGAAGTGCCCACTATAATTGCGTTTGAACTAAGTCTGTTCATATCTATTGAAATCTGTTCATATATAAATATATATCACAATTTTTTTTTTATATCTGTCTAACTATATATCTTAATCTGTTCATGTCTATCTATATATCATTGTTCAAATGTGAATACATGTGTTTGACTTTAGTGGGTACATATGTTTCAGTTGATGTGTTTTTTTTTGTTTTTTTTTTTATTTTCATCAACAGTGAAATTAATAAAAAACAGCTGAGATTAAAAAGGCCTACTAGAGAAAGATTGTGCCTCTGACAAGAATTGAACTTGTATTCCATTCATATCTACTGTTTTGACTATAGAAGGGGTTTCCCCTGATAACAAAGGGGATACAGTTTTGGTTCCTGTCGGAGGCATGATCTTTCTTTAGCACGACTTTTCAGTTGTTATTTTTACTGTTAAAGAAAATAAAAAAATAAAACAACTGAGACAGCAACTCAAATATGTATAAACCCTGAAAATAATCTTTATAGTAATAAGAAACACATGCATATTCAAAAACATACATATATAAATCATATTGACTGAACGGACACAAGTACACATGTACAAAGACACATACTAGCAAACATATTTTTTTTTTTACATCGGTATCACTCCAAGCATGGCAGTACAGCCACTAGCACGCAAGGGGTTACAGGGTGGGGAGGAATTAAGAACAGAAACATTAGTAATGAGCAGAAAGAGAAAAGAGTAATCAGGAGGACATTAGATAGCAATTGACATTGCATTTAAATTTTTGCAGATTAAAGTTGGCTGGAAAGTATGGAGATGGAAGGGCGTTCCACAAGTGAGAAAAGAATTTGTCAGCATAGAGTACGGCTACATCTAGCTAGCGCAACTGTAAATTAATGAGATCTCGCTTCCAGTCTAGTATACGCTTAAATTCATACAGTCTAGGTATCATAGCAAAGAGCTCATTCAAACAATTGTGATGAAAGTATTTATAAAAAAAGGCACAGAGAGGCAGCATTAAAGTGGTACGTACGTGGCCTTCTGAATAAGAAAAATACAACAAAACTAAATAAGGTTAGTTATGAGTATAGCAACCATGTTTTAAAATGTCTATTAGTAGCAATATTTTTAAAATACTTAAATTGTGTTTTTTAAAAAAATTACAATTAGATAAATTAGTTACCTCCCTTAGATTACTTAGAGTACTCTTACAAAAAAAACAAAAAAACAAAACATAATAGCTTTAACAGTTAATTTTTAAATTAAATTATAACAGAGTGCATTCCTAGGTGTTTAAAATTATAACAGGGTGCATTTTATGTGCATTTAAAAAAGAATTCACAACTATTAATTACATTAATTTTTTGCCTCAGCAACTCACCCTTGAAGATGATCTTGGATGAGATTGAAAGCACTTAGGAAAATAAAAGAAATGAAATAAAAAACTATGGCACCTTCCTTAATAAATCTAATATCGACATTAAGAATTTGATCTGCAAATTCAAGAGGATAAAATAGATATATTATGTCCAGATTATTCAACCAAACAGGCTTGACTATGCTGCCTAAATATACATACATATATAGGCACACACACAGAGACCAGACCCCCTCAACACATACATACACATACATACATATAGGCTAGACATGTATATACACATCAACAGACATGTATACATCTAGACTAGACACATATAGAGTCATGCTAATAGAGATTTTATATATATATATATATATATATATATATATATATATACACACACACACACCCCAGACCTCCCTCAACACATATACATACAGAGAATGTTGGGTGGAAACAACTTCAGATTTGGATGTAAAAATAAACAAAAATAAGTAGAAAGAAAAAAAATAACCTGGTTTATATGCTATTTGTTTTTTTTCCCTTACGCTATATAAAACTGTTTGTTTACAGACTTGATAAGAATATTATTAACTGTACGAGAAAACATTCCAGGAGTTAGGCACATGAGACGATATTCACACAATTCAGAGAATCGGAACATCATAGGCAAACTGAATGTCGTATGCACTTCTGCTACTACACTTTATGAACATCGTATTTGTGCAAAGACAAACACAATGAACCCGATTGGATTTCAAACTTACCAATCCCAAATTCAAACTAGAGATACCGAAATCAAACAGGTGCAACAATATATATATATATATATATATATATATCTGGGAAGCGTATTAACAGGGGACAGAAAGTGCAACACAGAAATCCGAAGGTGCATTGCAATAGCGAAAGACATGTCTTCCAAAAGCTGAGTAAGCTACTAAGAAACAGAAAAATATTATTCAAAACAAAGAAAAGAGTACAGAACTGTTATCTAGTATCAGCAGGGCCGGCTCAAGGTACTGCCAACTAGGGCAGTCACCCAGGGTGCATATCAAGGTCGAGGGCACCATCATGCTGCCATGTCACGTGTTTGTGATCTTCCAAAACTAAAGCTTATAAAAACGTACTTGTGGTTGTCCATGACTCAAGACAGATTAAATTCTTTGACTATTTTGTCAATAGAATGCAATCTTGTAAAGAAGATAAGTGTAGAAAGTATTGGGTTATCTCCTCCTAGCAGTTTAAAACCACTACTAGGGTGCACTCTCTGATACTATAAATACTCTGGGATAATTTTTCATAGCCTCTTCTTACCTTATCCACTTACTCGTCAACATGTAAGTCTCATGCGGAGAATGCTCTTCCCTTTGGGAAATGTGTGAACTAACCATGCATACACAATACATGTATGTATGCACATTCACCCACTTCATACTTTAAACCCAAACAGTTTCAACTTTGTGAGAATCAACTGTTCCAGTTAATAATATACACATCAACCTATCAACTTACTTCTGGGTATACTTTACAGATTTATATAAATTTTTTTTGCTTCCTAATCATCTTGCCATTTACTAGCTTTGTACAAAAGCTACAAATATGGGGAACTTACTGAAACTAAAACTCATTACTCAGCTATAATCAGGGCTGGCTTAAGGTACTGCCAACTCAGGCAGTCACCCGGGGTGCATATCAAGGTCAACAGCACCATCATGCCACCTCGTCATGTGTTTGCGATCTTCCAAACAAAAAGGAAAAATAATGTGAAAATAATAAATAAAATGAAATGAAAAACAAAAACCAAAATATTAAATTTCTTGAGTGGAGTGAAATTTTTGAGGATTTGATTATTAATTCTTTCTTCTATGGAATGGTGATCAAATACCATGACACAAAAATGAATGAGTGAGCGTTATTCTACGTTTTCAGTTTTTCTCCTTGTGAAAATTTTAAAAATTATACTTGGAAGGGTGCAAAGTTACTATACAGCAGTGAATTCTAGCTTATATCCCCACAGATGAAGTACAGACTAGGAGCAACAGAAATGCAGTTCTACAGAAGGATGCTGAGAATACCATGAATCAAACATGTGAGCAACAACAAAGTTCTAGAGAGAGAGAGAGGCAACAAAATGACTCATGTTTAACATCAGGAAGAGAGTTAAAATTTCTGGGGCACATAATGAGGAAAGAGGGCTTGGAAAATTTGATACTCACAGGATAGACTGAAGGTAAAAGAGCCAGAGGAATGCAATGCACAACTTACCTGGTATGCTTGAACAAATGAATGGCAGAGCAGGGTTTGTGAGAGATGACAAAAAGACAAAAGTTACTCAGAGCTATAAAGGGCAGGAAATTGTGGAGAGCATATAGAAGAATCCCACTTCCCACACCAATAACAATGACATAGTCATCACCAAGGTGAAAGCACTAATCTGAATAAGTTAATGTCTATTTTTCCTCATATAATGCCATATAATTTGGAGATGAGGAATTATCATTATTTACATGCAGACTATTATCCACATCTTTGTTGTTATTATCTCACAGTGTTTTGAGCGTATGACCACATCACATTAAACACCAGTTTTCATACAATCACTGAAGTTAAGCAATGTCAAGCCTGGTCAGTATGTAGATGGGTGACTGCTGGGGAATACCAAGTGCTGTAAGCTTGGATGTACAGGTGGTGTAATAAATAATGGCTTCCAGTTCGATTCGTTATATTCAGTTATGCACAAATACCCTTGAGAAATGTATGAATCCAGCTCTTCTCCCCCAGCTATGGATTAATTAGTAAGACATGTATCACTAAAACATTATCTCAAAAAACAAAAAAAAATTCTTACAATCTAAAAATATTTTTTGAAATAACCTGCAAAGGGTTGATAAGCCGTGAAAACGAATCAACAAACAAACAAAAATCAGTGTTTCAGAAGCTAGGTGCTCACAATGATCAAACAGCCACCAGATGCAGAAATATGTGACCTCATAGCTACATTTGGGTTGCAAGCATGGAAAAGAACCATAAGACAAGCAGTTATATAAACACCCACCCTAGTGAGGACATAGGCAGTCTCTCAGATATAGATGAGAATGAATGGTTCATGTTCAGATGAAGGGGCTCCAATGGTTTCACACACACATTATCATTAATCTACACTCCAATAACTTTATACTTACACTCGCATGTCAAATGTCACATGATAGATGTTTTGTACTTTTTAGGATCTTCTCAAAGCAGGCAAGGCTTACTATCTCCAAAAATTTCTTAAAATCTAAAAGTATTTTCTGGCTTTAAATAATCTGCAAGAGGTTGATAAACCGTAATAAAACAATCAGTCAAACTAGGAAAAGTACAACAGCTCAACAAGCCATCGATTCCCATTAATAGTTGGAAAACCTCTTGAGAGATGTTGAGCCATGCTGTCTTGGTAGCTGTTCACACCTCCTTGGTATCTGTAGATACAGGATCTTGCATGTGAATATAGCTCTCCAGCATGTCTCATATGTGCTCAATTGACTTCATGTTAGGAGTTCATGGTAGTTGCACCAATTGTCAGAAGTCACCACAATGCTCCTCAAAACAATTCTTGGTAACTTTGCTTCAATAACACAGTGCATGATCCTGCTGGATTAACTTAGCATTGTTAGGAAACAGTGCAATGTAGTAGTCACCAGTTGTTGGAGCACAACGTCTGTGTATTTTTATAATGTTAGAGAATGGTGGTGCCACCAACTATTACCTTTACATACTACTACCAAATAACTTTTGTCATGTCAGTGTATCAGTTTTATATTTTATTTAATTCTAGTGTCATCAGAGGACTGGTATATCAAATGGTTGTTAGGTATTGGTCTTGTTCTATTTTATATATTTTGACATTATTTTGATTTGTAATCAAAAATTTAATCATTTAATTCTGGAGACATCAGGGGACTAGTATTTTAAACAGGAATCTTTAGGTGTTAATTTTGTACTGTTTTTTATAATTTGATTTGTAATCATAATTAAATCATTTGTAATAATATACATTTCATCCTGGAGTCACCAGGGGTGTAACATGTCAGACAGGAGTATTTAGGTGTTCATTTAGTACTGCTTGAAATTTTGAATTGTAATCATAATTTATTGTATTTGATGGCCAATTGGATGCAGATTTTTTTTTTTTTTTTAATTTGCACCAAAAAATACCCTACGCCCAATACAGCAGTATCATATATAAGAGAGACATGAAAACCATGAAAAAGTGGGGTTTACCAGGAATTAATGCATGCATGGAGCTTAGCTTTGAAACTAGGACTCCTGGAAGTGAACAAACATGATACCAATAAAAATATCCTTGAAAAAATTTCCCCAGAGAAAAGAAATTAAGAAATTTATTGAATTGCACAATATTTTGAAGCTTGTTTTGTAGAAATACCAAATTTTACAGAAATATTTGCTTCGACTGATATATTGCTGCCAGCTTTATATGTGCTTTTATTGATATACAGGTATCAGAATTTGGTTTTCTGCATGTATAGTATGGAACAAGTACTATATTTCTGTTTGCTTTTTGTTCATTACCATATGTGTTCACTGATACTAGTAGATTTCTTTGTAGGTATTATGAATTTACTGTATGTGTAGATGTTGCTCCCTGAAAAAAAACTAAAACAATTTTCAATAAATGCATGATGAAAACTACTAAAATTCTTTTTTTCCCCCAAAAAATGTCCTGGTAATTAAACCTTCCCTTACTTCTATTAAAAAAAAGTATCGTTAATATAATTTGTGTTAATACTGTAAGTGCTTTTTCATGGTTAGTGATAATGTCACATAGGGGTAAGGTTATAATTTTGATTCTTTTGGTCGTGATGTGTACATTTTTTTCTCTGAATATTCCATGCCAAAATTTGGGTGTGTCCAATACGTGTGTGTATCCAATAGGCTGGCAAATATGGTAATCATTTATTTAATTCTGGGGTCTTCAGGTGACTAATGTGTCAAACAAGAGTGTTTAGGTGTTAGTCTGAAATGAGTAAACCAATATTTAAAATATAGGATACATAATGATTTTTTAAAGGTAATTAAAAAAAAAAAAAATATGACAATGAATATAGTATTTAATGAATATGGTAAATACCATATTTAAATATGGTATTTAAATATATTTTATTTAGCTATTTATGTACATCGCTGTAGGATTTATTAAATACATCAAAAGTTTTCATTCACTTTAACACTTATATACATATGTATATGGGAAAAAATATGACAAACTGTAAAATTTTTTTCCCTAAAATTGTTCTTGATATATATAAAAAAAATTATATATCGTTTTTCTATACTGTTGACATGGAAAATACCAAACAATAAAAAAAATACAAAAAACATTTGATATGGGCCAATTCCTTTTAAAAACTGAAAAAATTTCTTACATGAAAACATTTTCCACATTTTTTTGTACTAAAATTGTTCTTGATATATAAAAAAAATATATACATACATATATATGTAGTTGAATCCAAAAATATATGAAACTGAAATTGTTTTTAATTTATTTTCAAAGTACTGTTTAACAGAGCAAGGAATATTTGAAACAGCATTTCTAAATATTCTGCTTTTATAGAGGAAGCTAAAATTACTTTACTTTTCATACAGAGACAAAATTAATCCCCAAAACTAAAAAAAAAAATGTCAAGGTCAAAATTATTACCCGCCTCTGATGTTAATAGTCAATTGTGTATCGTTTTCACTGAATAACAACCACTAAGCATTTGGTATAGTTTTCAACAAGTTTTAGGCATGGCTCATGAAGTATCACAACCCATTATTCTTTGGCAAATATTACAAGTATATATATATATATATATATATATATATATGTATATATATAAAATAAAATGGATTAAGTTCATTAATTATTTAATATATTTTCTGTTTATACGTTATTTTATTAGATGCAATTTATTTAAGCAAATGCTCTGTTTTTCAAATAAACAGTATTAATTACATTTACCAGCCTGAATGTTCGAGAAATTTTGCAGAAAATGTGTGCTTCTCTGGCAGGAATCGAACCTGTAACCCTTAATGGGAACCCTCATTTGATCTGATGTGCTGTTAATCATTCAGCTACAAAGAAGCATCTGGTTAGAAAAGTCCAAATTACTGTTTATAAACAACAAACGATTTTTCCCTGAACAACCATATCTGCTCATAAAATGTACTTTAATTTAAACCTTGACAACGTATTATGAAATGTATTCAGTCCAACAGTTATTTAATATATTTTCTGTTAATACATTATTTTAATAGATACAATCTATTTAAGTAGATTGTCTGTTTTTTAAATAAACAGTATTACATTTACCAGCCTGAAGTTCCAAGAAATTTCATGGAAAATATGTGCTTCACTAACAGGAATCAAACCAGTAACCCTCATATATATATATATATATATATATATATATATGTGTGTGTGTGTGTGAATAAAGACAAAAGGAAAACTTATCTTAGTCAACATGTTTTGTACTCTGATGGACGTTATTAAGGCAAATGCAAGGGTTTTATTTTGTAACAAGTATTTATATACAAGAGAAAAATGTTATTTGTTTTTCAAAGTTTTTAAATTTAAGAACACTCATAAATATTGGACAGGTCAGCCAAAATGTCTAGGCAAGCTATGGAGGACAACAAGTGACACAATTCAATGTCTAATAAACAAAAGTGAATAAAATAAATTATTTTTTTTTTTAATGCATTTCAATATTTAAATTATTTTGAATTTAACAGTTTTATTTTATTTTTCTTAGCATTTAAATCTGCACCCTGGACGTTTTTTTTTTTTAAATGTCTCCATTCCTGAAAGAATTACTCCTTTCCCAAGCAAATATACATAACTATAAAAATAGCTGCCAATCTAGTACTACACTTAAATACATAACGTCTAAGTACCATAGGGGAAAGTTCGTCTTGAACAATTACCATGAAATTATTTATAGAAATGTCATAGGGAAGCTGAAATGCCATGCCAGGGCCAATAACATTGCAGATAAATTGTTTAGCACAACCCAGTGAACCAACTAGCAGCAGACCTAGCAATTGATTCAATAAAACCTTTCCATTCCACGTTAATGGAAAATGTTAGCACAAGAAATGGTTATATATATATACATATATATATATATATATATATAAAATAAATTAATTGATTTAAAATATATTTTTTTTTCGCTACACAGTTCTAACCATGTTTCAAAAATGGAAGCTAAAAGCCGAATTTAATTTTGTGATTAAATTAAAGACATTAGTTCCATTTGAACACCGGATTATATATCTTGCTGTTCTTTCTTTTTATATATATATATATATATATATATATATATATATATATATATATATATATATGTGTGTGTGTGTGTGAAAATACATAGAAAATAGGAAAGAAATGGTTAGGTAAATAATCCAAAGTTCTTTAGTATTTTTGTTATTATTTTTTAAAAATAGTGCTCGATACAAAAATAGAGCATAAATATAATTATTTATTTAAAAATATGATTCCAACACCTCTTATGTCGCATGTTGGAATCATATTTTTTTAAATAAATAATATATATATATATATATATATATATATATATATATATATATATTTGATTTTAGTGTTATCTGCATTTGAATTTGTATA